CCGCTCCCCTACCCTGGGAAGTGTTGAACCTCTATCTGTTAGCGGTGTGTCCTAGGGACTCTGCTAGCAAGTATTTTGGGATGAACCACTGTGTGATATTCATCCTGCTCTGCCTAAGTGTTTATTCAACCAGTGAGCAAAGATGAGTTCACAGCATATTAGAAAATCTGGATTCTATTTGCTGCTCCTGTGAATATTTAATTATCTTATGCAAAGTGGAGTGACAGTGAAACAAACTGGAGAACATTATGCACAAAATAAGGGGGGGAAGAAGGGGAGTGTATTCAAATGGATGATGATGAGCAGTGTACTCCTTGAAAGTGATACATGTGGTTTTTCAATCTCTCTTAGCAAGGGGAGGCAACTATGCCTAGATTTTCCTCTCTCTGGATGTTGCTGCATCACTGAATTGTTACATGAAAGGGGACGGGGAACTTCGTTCTCCCCTCAAATGACCTTCATCGAGAACTAGTTGGTGAATTGCAAATGATTTCATGATGACTGAAGGCACCCTTTGGTTTACCAAAACTAATTCAAGCAGACCAGCAGTAACCCTGTGTGCCAGTGTCTACTGTGCTCTTTTTTGTTTTTCTCAGTTCCTGGCAGGCTGGCAGAGACAGCTCTTGCCCTTGGTTATACTCTAGTCCCCTTGTTGTTACAGTGTCAAGACCACTCTACCATTTGAGACGTGGTGTCAGGCTTCTCACTACCACTGCTTATTTATCATGGTCAATAGTTTCAATATCCACACCTTGAGAAATTAGTGTTGGAGGTGGAGGATTGTATCAGTAAGCTTTGTTGAAACCAGTATTTCCTTTCAGTCCACTGAAGAGCTTTGATGAATACAGAATTAAGCATTTTTCCCCAGGTATGCTTTCCCCCAGAACACATGTTGCCCTCAGAGATTTGAACAAGTCTCTTTCTTTGAATAAGATTTTTTGGATGACCTTTCTACCCCCTATTTTCTCCATGGGTGCACTGTTAGGCAGCTTGAGACAAATGTAATTTCTGTTTGATCATATGTTTAAGTTTCATTAATTCTTGAAATAGCGTACTTCATGTTTGGATGAGTGTGGCACAGAGACTACAAGAACCAAAGTCTGTTTTGTAACATGGCTGTTGGTCTCATGGAGGCTTTGGGCTCATCAGAAAGCAGTGCTTCTACACTCTGATTATGCAGTGATTAAGCTCTATTCTCAGTTATACTTTAGACAAATATATTCACTATTTTTAAATATTCCATTAAAATATTTTCTCTCACTAATGTGATAGTCACGGTATCGTTTGGCATCCTAAAACTCCACAGTTTTGTTGTTTATGAAAAAGATATGTGAAAATGCTGAAAGGTAAGTTTTGGCAAACTGATGGAACCTATTTAAAAGCAAACCAAAAGTGTGTTTCTCCACCTGTTGGGAAATATTGCCAAAGTAATTTGTTTTCCTTTCTACATTAGGTTTGTTTTATAAAATATACTTATCAAAGCCTATTGCAACACATAGAATACTTACAAATAAATAACATCACAAGATTTAGCCATATTTATTTAAATTAAACCTCTTTCCAAACCACATTACAGAAATCTCCTTTGTCGCCCTTAGGCAAAAGTCTGGATAAACAGTATCGAATATGTTTACAGTGTTCTTTGAAGGCCAAAGCCTCTTTTAAAGAAGCGGATATGTAACTAGAGAAACGAGCTAGGGCAGTGATGGTCCTACAGAGTGATAAGAGAATTGATTCTCTCATTCTTAAGAGTAGGGAGGGGGGACAAGATCACATTCATTATGTCGGTTACTCTGCTGTGATCTGTGTCAAAACAGAGGAGAAATCCTAGGAAAAACTCTAATCTGTGTCATTTCTAGGAAATTTTTTAACAGTGAACTGAAGTCTCAAGGGAATAGTTTATAATTTTTCTAACCTCATTCCTGTGGATTCTGCTCAGCGTCTTCTTTTTTTACAAAGGGGAGGGAACAGGAGCTCTTTCATGATGCTGAACTGAAGGTCCCAGTTGTACAGCCATTTACACCTTTGCTCCACTGATTCACTGTGATAAAGTCTTGCCTTTACTAAATGATGTTAACCATATGCTTAGCTTTAATATATATAGGATCAGGTCTTAAAGAAGCCTGTTTGCTGGGAGGCGTGCGTTAAGTATTTCTTTTGGCTGAAGCTTTCTATAGGAGGACAAACTGTCTGCTTGTGGAACCTAAGCACTTGAAGTTGAGTGTAGTTAAACCACTGATATGACTGTCAACAGAAAGGTATCCAAATACACTACACATTGAACAACCTGTCATAAAAAGCTAGTGTGATCTGATGCTAAGTATTTTGCTAGTTTTTAAGCCCTCTGTGAATACTTTGATTTTTTTTTTTTAATCTGCTAGAACCCAGACAGATACAAATTCAGTTTTACAGAATACCTTCTTGAAAGTATGAAGACTATCAAAACAAAAGTGCACGCACACACATGAATTCCCTTTCCCCTTTTACTTAATAGAAGTGTATAGGTACCGGCCACCAAAAGGTAAGAGACGATGTTAAATTTAATTATGTAAATAATCTCAGGAGTTAAATTTAGTTTTGTATGCTTTTTCTGTTGCTAAACAAAATTAAAATTAATGTATGTAGATTCCTACAGAAGAAATTTTAGAACATTTTACTCTTTAAATTTGAAATGAAGTTTATTACAATGTAAAAACCTGCAGCCATTGACATTATCTTTTATGGGGGCAAGTTGGCATTAAAACACATTCCTCATTATCTCAGTTGTTTAGCAGCATTACTTGCTCTTGATATGAATGCTCAAATCCCATAAAATTGAGAAAGTTTTATAGCATTGAGATGCAGTGGGTTAGGAGTTGGGTGCTTGCTGCATGTTCTTACATACTTCTCTCCCTTTCGTATTTAGTCCTATCCTGTGGAGACGCTAAAGAAAGGAAGATTCAATACTGGAAAGAAAGGGTGGACGCTCTGGCTTTCATCTAGCTGAATGAACACTTTAAGCACCCTCTTCACAGGAAATATTTCAGTAGTTCCGTGGATGTTTGGAAATATAAGACAGTAAGGCTTGATTCTGTCCCTAGTTCAAATCATTGGCAAAACTCCCATGGTGAAGAACTGGAAACTAATTAGTGGGTAAAGCAAATATTATTGAATGTTACGTAAGCACTGAATATAACTCTTCTTGCTGCTCAGCAAGACACAAGAATATTTGCTGTCTGCAGAGCGTATCTGATAAAATCTTATAGAGAACTTGGACAGGGGGGATCAAAACCACTCAAAAGTTTAATGATCAACAGAAGCTAGCTCAGAAAAGAAAACACTAGAAGAGAATGTTAAACAAGCCAATGGCAGTTTGCCTTTTATATATGGAATAAACTGCAGGACTTAGACCTTCAGACTGGAAAGGAGAGTGAGAGTCACAAAGCACAAATAGTAGTAAATAAATAAACGATAAAAATTAGGGTATGTCAGCTTTTCTAATGTGTTTTTCCTTAAGACCTTGGAAACAATTGCTAAATACAAGCTATGGAAAAGCAAACAAAGCAAAGAACACTTTGTTTTTGACAGGTTCCCACAATCATTATGGCACAATGTTAATGTTAAAAAAGTAAGTAAATAAATGCAAATTTTAATCAAATGATTAAATGGCACTCATAAGCTCTTACCAAACTGAGAAAAGCCAAGCTCTTAGATTTTAAAATCAGAATAGTTTTGTGTTCATTTGAGACTAGCTAGAAATGGAATCACACTACTTGCTACCCCTGCTCTTTCTCAAGCACTGCATGGGCATCAGCGTTTATGTGAAAATGTTTAATCTTTTACTTGTGTTGATGAACTCTTGTACAGCAATAGCAGTTTCCTTCGGGTTAATTTGGTCCCAATACAATGTCCATTTGAGCCAATGGAGATAAACTTACTGGCATCAGTAGGCAATGTGTTAGGCAGTGTTGCAAGTGCTGACTTAAAGGTACATGCAGACTTTTAATAAAGGACTCCTCACTCATATGAGGCATGTGCATATATTAAGTCAGATCCTCAGGATCCACATGCATTCTGTCAATAGGGTGAACTGGACTTCTCATCACAAAAGCCAAGGTTTACAGGAGAACTTACAGTACTCAGAACATTCACACCTATCAGGCACTAATCCCCATTCACACACAGGAACTATGGCCACTGCTGTCTTGCTGGCTTTTCACTGTTAAAACACAGGAATACCCTGGAATAAAATGACTACCATTTGGTATTCTGCATGGATACCAAAGAAAGCACTGACAATCCAAGTGTAAGCCAGCATACGTGTTATTTTTCCCGGACAGTATGACAGTAGCAAGAGAGAACAAATTCTTCAAACAAACAAGAGAGAATGCAAGTATTTCCCCACAAATTTTTTGAGGAAGGGTGTCAGGGGACATCATTCTCTATTTACCATTTCCCCTTCAGTTGTGCTTTTTTGCTATGAGCCCAGCCACAGCAACATGCGTACCTACAGGAAAGGGAGAAGGATTCTGCCTCACAACTGAGCAGCAATAACCCTGACTGACTTAGAAGCCATATAATTCTATTTTTATGCCAATAAATTGAGATACAGTTATAGCACAGATAAGTGGTGAGCAAAGAATGTGCTAGCTTAAGCTCAATAAAATATGAGTGTTAACTTTATGGGTTCTCAAGCAGAGGTAGATCACATCTGAGAGGACTTGGAGCATGGACAGAGTTGGTGTGTGACAATCTTAATTAATAAAGTAGATACAGTCTAATCTTAAATATTCCTACAGCTGTGCTCCTATGGAGTTGAATGGACGACCTGCTACTGCTTGCTTTCTTTCTGTGAAAAAAGATTATCTGATTTTTCCATATTTGCTGCCCGAGAAATACTTGATAATATAAAAAATAATCAGATTTAAAATAACCCTGAATTCAAATTAGGTCTATACATTAGACTGTTTCTTACACACAGTGTGGTGTACATAATGTTTTAATTCAGCGGTGTTATTGAGTAGTGTTGAATAAGCATAATGAACTGAGGCTAGTTAGGTTTTGCTCAATGTGTGGCAGTACTGAAATCTGAAAAAAGCTATTTACATCATGCTCAAGATTATTAACTATGAGACTGATAGGTTAGGAAAATTACTGAATTCTTTATTGAACTGAGTTTAAAAAAGCAAATGAAAGTTGTGGTCCTTTGATATTACTTTGTTGCTATGACGAAAACCACGTCAAAATGGGAATAAACAGGGAAGAGCCATAAGAAAGAAGAAAAAGTGTGACTGATCAGTATGATTCATTTATTTTAGAAACAAACCAGTGAGTAGGAAGTGTTCATACAGAAAATATTCTTACCTGCCAAAGACGAGATATTAATGATTACTCCTCCGTCGCCTCCATTTCCTTTTCTCATGTATTCTAGGCCGAGGTAGGTTCCTCTAATCACAGATGTCTGATATAGGGGGGAAAGGGATGATTATATTCAAAGTATGTTTCTTTTGTGCTCCCAAAAACTGAATCTTGCTTTAATCATGGTGCCTAGAACTTGTATTGCTTTACCAATGATCTCATTTATAGTTGGAAGATTATGAACACAGATGACATTCCACCATTTACAACAGTAATGCAACTCAATAACTTCAGAAGCACAACTGCAATGCATAGAAATAATAGCAGCTTCATTATTTTTCTTATTAAGATATCAATAACTAACCTAAAATTTTACAACGTGAAATAAATGCTGTGAAGGAAATGAAATACAGAATAACTAAATAATTTGTAGATGAAACACACACTTTGTCTGAGGATATAAGTGGTGGATGAACTGATCCAATTCACAGCATTTTTATTGAGACAAACTGCTCTACATTATAAAAAATGTACAGACTGAATCGGAAGATAACACTAATACTTATAGCTCCATTTGGCTCAAGGTATGAGATCCCTTTTTAGGATTAAGTTATATGTTATACTTCTGGTCCCAGGATATTAAAAATCTGTATTCCTTCCTGACTGAAGTTACTGGAGTTTTACCATTCCCCTCAAAAGGAGGTTAAGCCAAACAGACAAATATAGATAGGTAAAAAAGCATTTGAAGAGGTGTGAAACATGGTTTTAGCATAAAATTAGCTGCAGCATGTGATTTTTAATTTGTTTTTTTTAAAGAAAGATCTTTGAGGAAGAAACTTTTACTGAGACCTGTATAATCTTGATTCCTTAAGATCTGCTTTTGAACTCTACTGCACTCAGAACTTGTGCTGGGATTCATCTCACCAAATTTCAGATGAGCTGCCTAGAGGTATGCCGAGGCTGGGATTATCAGCCTCCTAAATGAATCAAGTGGTTGGTCTTTCCCAAAGAGTAAGTCACTTTACCAGAGACTTTAACAAGTGCTAATAGAAAGGCAGCAGACAGTGCTGCTAGTGGAACATACTAACTTTAGTGAAATGTTGCAATATTACTGCATTAGTGATGAGTTTCATAATTATTTACGGATTTTGTTATATCTCTCCATAACCAGTTCACATTTGGTTTACAATTTCTACTTAAGATGAACAAATTGAGTTACTTTTGTTTTTTCTGGAAATGTTATTTCAGTTTTAAAATGAGAACTCCATTTATATTTTTTACTTTTTACTGCTATTTATTTGACCCAAATAAATTAAGATGTTCAAAAGACGAAGTGGCCCTACAAATGTGTTCACATCTGTGCACAATTATTTCACTGAGAGTTTTGACCAGGGAAGGTCTACAGGATTGTGAATCATGGAGAAGGAAATCTCCCAAAGCAATAAAAAAACACAGTAAAAAAAATATCTGTACATGACTAACACCTAATGGATAGTGACTAGGTGTACTGGAAGGAAAAAGCTTTTAAAATCAAAACATTAAGTATTTTTCTACCATTATCTAAATTCCCAAATCAAAATTGCAATAATTTAAAGACATGTATTACATTTCATTTTTATTAGCTGGTAGTTTTAGTTTTATGTGTTATAAAACATAAAGTGAAAGTCCTAATTCAAGTTCAGTTGCCCTTCATGTTTATTGATTTTAACAGGAATCAGATTTGGAAGACAGCATGTCCTGCTTTATTAATATTGCTTGTTCATTGCTGAAGTAACATGAAGTTAAGCTGCCCATTGACAGAGATAAAACAACTTGAGACCTCATTACCAAGTTTGCTTTGGAATTTGAATAAAGAATAAGCTTTTTTCATTTTCTATAATTGCAGCATCTTATGTGATATTTTCAATATAAATATATTTTCAGTATACCAATTTCCTGGAATAATGTAAAAAAAATCACAAAATATGAATAGTTCAAAATTCTGAAATAACATTTTAAACTTTTCTTAAACAAAAAATTCCCGTAAAAACCTTTTTTGTTTTTCTCCCGGAAAGTTTTGTCTTAAGTAACATACTTTTAAAAATGTTTTGATTAATATAAAAAGAATTTTATTGATTAAATGTTTTAACAGAAACTTTCCAAAGAACTGTCTTCAGTGGCTTGTAAAATACCAAACTAAATCTGATTTCTCTCGCATGTCCTGGAAAGTTTCAGAGCCGTTATAAATGTAGTCAAGTGTGGTTTAATGTTGATTGTCACATGTAAATTTTAAAGGATTTACTGAAAAATAAGATCGTTAATGCCCAGTAGCATTGCTGTAAGCTGTACTTATTCTGAACATAAACTCATTGGCAGCTCAAGTGAAATTAGACTTACACTTAAGGGTGGGTTGTGTTTTTTAATATATACATATGATAGGCCGTACACAAGACATTCTAGAAAGGAAGGGGTTAATGCTGTCTATGGAGAGCAGGTGCAGGTCCTATCGTGCCCTGGAGCAGTGGCTCAGCCTGCTGAACAGAAAAAGAGAATTCCACTTAGGATGATTAGAGGAAATAAATGAGTTGGAGAAGGAAGTAGCTTGGGGCTCTTTGAGGATTTTTCTATTCCTCCAGCCTTCTCCTTCAAAGAGATAATAGAGCTAGATGAGTCTTTGGCCAAACCGTAATTATAAGACAAGGAAAAAGTGGGTAGCTTGACTCTCCTATCAAAATCACTGTACTGCTCTTTTTTCTCTCTAAAGTCCATTAACTTAGCATTTCTTCAAGTGGCTGGGGAAGCCTTCTTCTTTACGTAGGTATTGTGAGAGGTTGTCTTTAGAATTAATGCAGACTTTTGTTCAGATACTGCCCTTACACCTGCTGTTTTCCTTGCAAAAAGTTTCTCATCAGGTGTGGCTGATCTCAGGTGACATGGCTATTTCTGATGTTTGGGCTGGTAACATAAAGAATTATTCTGGAGATAAACTCTGAACCGAACATACTGTAGTACGAAAGCCATACAACGTGTGCTTAGAAGTCTTAGTGCCACTTCCCAGTCGAGCCTGTCGATCCAGCTGAATTGATAAAGTGAAGCTGGTTCTTGTATCTGGGTGGCAAACACTCAAATGAGAAAGAGGTTTTCCAAAGAACAATAGTCTTTGGACTATTGTTTTCCAAAGAGCAATAGCATATTGTTTTTTGTTTTTGTTATGAAATCCGTCTTTGCAAGTGCATAAATTGCAGCTTCACACCTCCTCTCATATGAAATGTGACTTTGGATTCCTATTTGTTGATGTCAGAATACTTCATCTGAATTCTAGAAGAAAGCTTATCAGTTATTACTTCACTATACCATGAAATACACAATAGAAAGTAAAACAGGCAAAGAATGATTTTGTGCCTCCCAGTTTCCTGGTTTTGGGATATGATGAAAAATGTCTGTAATTTGCCTTTCAATAAACTGAAAGAAACTAAAGGTGTCTTCAGATTGTGTAGTTCTCCATGTATACTTTTGAGAATAATAATTTAATCCCATGCTCTTAGCCAACAATAATTCATAGTTTGTCTATTGCAAATAGAAATTCTGGGAAAGTTAACATTTAAAATTTCTAATTAAAAAAAAAAATCTGACTTTTTAAAAGTTGAAAATATGCTGCAAGGCTTAACTTTGTACAGCAAAGCATGTTGCATTTTAGAGTTGAATTTTTTACAATTCCTTTGTTTACAACTGCATTTAGCTGCATGGATATTGTCCATAAACATGTCAAGAACAAGGAGTAGGAAAGTAGTCAAATTTGCATTTAAATGGAGGTAAAGCGAAAATTGGGACAGCTGACTCTCATCTAGTTTTTTTGCTCCTGGCTACTGAAAACTAGTATAATTAAAATCAGAAAATAATCTAAATGGTTGTCCTCCTAGCTGTTGAAAAACCTGTGATACTAGTGATACTGCTGTTTGTTTTCTTACCAAAATAGTGTTTTACTATAGCACATAATGAAGACCATCAAGGTGCACTGCAGGTCTGAATGTGCTCCCAAGAGAGGCAATTTTACTCTTCAACTTCCAGTAGAAAATTTAGGATTCTTTCCAATGAAGTTATAATGGGGAGGGTGGGAATATCTCCTAGTATTATCTTCTATAAATTACAGATTTAGATTAGAGGAGATCAGACATTCTGAAGCACCATACAGTAATAAACCCCAAACTTAGTATCTGACAGCATGGTAAACTTTGCAAAATAATTGTGCAAATACTCGAAACATTTGCAGTTGTTTTTGGAAGTATCATATCAGTAATCAGTAACTTATTTAACAAATTGTTAAATGGCAATTTAGGTATCAGTGTCAAAATCAGAAACAAAACTTACAAAATCTGCTGTTCGTGACATTTCTGTGTATCCCATGACTGTATAGTTTTAATTGTATTGTTCTAAAAGAAATCATATATTGAAACTCTGATTCTAATAAGACTCCAAGTCTTCAATAGAGACCTAGTTCATTTTTTTCTGGAGTTAGGAACCAGTGTTAGCTAGTGTTGTACAATGTTCTTGTATTCCAACGTTAGACCCCCTAAGTCAATTTTCATACTCTGTGTTTCATTTTAGCTTGATCTATTTAAAAAAAAGTGTTCTTCAGTGATGGTGCCCAGAACATCATTAATAGTCATCCTTTGTAAGTGACAACCGCTTTGAAAGTAATTTAGTATGCAGTGCTTTTTTTCAAGTGTTTCAAGGCAGGTATTCCAACTGACATGGTTTCTTATACCTATTTAATAAGGTTTCCCTTGCCACTTCTTGTCTGATACTTCTGCTGTCTCCTTACGCATGCTAATATTTCATGCTGAGAAACTATATCTGCATTCCTTCAGTGCTGAAGATGACTATTCTATTGTTATCAAGGTGATAAGGCAATATGAATTCCCTTGAGAGAACAAAATGGTAATCAGTAATCAGTCCTAACATTATATGTAGGTTTCTGAGCTAATCTAGTTCAGTGCTAGGGATACCGAACAAAAAACAAATGAAAGAGCCATTGACTTGTGGTTTCATAAAGCAGGTTAGCACAGAGCTGGAATTTGACCCAAGATCATTTGACTTTCATACTGTGATGTTGTAAATTGATGT